TTTAAGCCTGAGAAAGTTGAAAAGGTTAAAATAAGATAAAAAATATATATCCTGGCGTTTAGTCGTATTTACCCATCAATTTCAAATGTTTCTACTCCTCCTCTATACTTTATGGACAATGAAACAACCACAAAAATTACTTTACTAGCTACGTATTGTTTAGTATGTATCTTTAATTTGAAACTATAGCTTGTGTGTATTTATAACATTATATATTGTGTGTAAAATAAAAATATTATTGATTTATGAAGCGGAAAACGTAGTCTCGTAATGAACAACAAAACCATAGCCCCCGCCCCCCCAGTGGCACTGCATTATTCTGCGGACTTACAACACTAAACCCGGGTTTCAATACCCGTGGTGGGCAGAGCACAGATAGCCCATTATGTAGCTTTTGCTTAACTACAAACAAACAAACAAACAGAAACACAGAAGTGACGAATAGCTTCACATGTACTGGACGTTTCGGAATATACACATTCCATCTTCAGCAAATTATTACAATAAACAGAATTTTAATTACAGTTAACCAGTTGAATGTTAGACAAAAGCTTATGTATTACAGATTTTGTTTGAAGTTAAGCACAAAGCAATACAATGGGCTATCTGTGCTCTGTCCACCATTGGTATCGAAACCCAAATTCTAGCGTTATAAGTCCGCAGACATACCGCTGTGCCACTGAGGGGGCGTATTACAGTTCACAGATATAAGTAGAGGGGGCGTGTACAAGCGAGTGAAACTTGGAAATAATATAGACTCACAATAAATGAATCAGTAAAAGTATATATATATAGCGAGAGAAAGAATTATCACTTCCTTCGGTTCCTAAAAAAATCAAAAGTTTCGTGTTTTTGTTTTAATCAGCTAGACCAACTTCTTTAACTTCCTCATTACATTTCTTCGTAACGACCTTAATTCCAACTAGTGGGGTCGGCCGGCAATTTTATAAGCCAATAATTTTTAAACCCGAGTGACCGGCCCACATGGCAACCATATTAAGACGAGCACGATCGGCAACGGGGATTCGAACTCACGACCGTCAGATTACGAATTTTCTCATTACATATATTATTATGTAACCATTTATACCTATTCGTATTACGAGACACATCCAACTTTGAATTATGTTGATATTTCTAATAAATGGTGTATACGGTCATAAGTTACTTCCCATGACTGTTAATGATTCACTCCGGAAATAAAATACTTTGATAAATCGTTCACAGAACCCATTTCTTTATAAGAAGATGGTTCTCTGTGCTTGGAGATTGTATACGAACATTTGTTTGAAGACAAGAATTAGAACCAATAATATTATATGAAAAACGTCGACTGACAGGATCTTTAACACTGGCGCAAATTGAGGTGGTTAGGGCGCTCGACTTGCAAACTGAGGGTCGCGGGTTCGAATCCACGTCACCGAACATGCTCGCCAGTTCAGCTGAGGGGACGTTATAATGTGATGGTTAATCCCACTGTTCGTTGGTAAATTAGTAGCCCAAGAGTTGGTGGTAGGTGGTGTTAACTAGCTGCCTTCTCTCTAGTCTATCACTGCTAAATTAGGGGCGGTTAACGCAAATTGCCCTCGTGTAGCTTTGCGCAAAATCCAAACCAAATTGTGAATGTTTATTTAACAGATTAGGAGGAACAACTTACTTAGATATTTGAGATTATGTGAAATAGAATGTAAAATAATAATAATAAGTGTACCCAGGTGTGGAAATGACAGAAAAAAAAGATAACTAACTCAGCACGAGCGTACTCATCTGCTACATTTTCACCTAGGAAATCAACGAAATCACTTAATCAAGCATATCATTTGTGACGAGTTCTGCCTGCTGCTCAGTCGACCCAACAGCCGCGGGGTTTATAGACGAACTATCGGGAAAAGATGGCCAAATCAAGTCAGAAGTTTTTGCGGATGGTTCCTGTAATCCAGTAGTAATGAGAAGCCACACTTGCCCTTATCACGTTTATTAGATAGTCCGGCGGTGTCTTTTTAAGTAACACACGAACCTACTCTTAACATGACGATGTTTACTGTTCAAATTACGGTGGTTCGTGAGTGGTTCATTATTTCGCTTGATATTTGTGTTGTTATCTTACTACAAGTGGATCTGTAACGAAATGACTTTTTTTACTTCGCGCTATATAAATAATTACACTTAATTCAAATAAACAGTTATCAGCACAGCACACTTCTAAACCAGAAATATGTTTTTTTACAATATATCCTGGAAATAGCTTGTTTTCTCTATATAAAACACAATATATCCTGGAAATAGCTTGTTTTCTCTATATGTTATATATAGAGAAAACAAGCTATTTCCAGGATATATTGTGTTATATATAGAGAAAACAAGCTATTTCCAGGATATATTGTGTTATATATATTGTGTTTTATCTGTGAGAAAACAAGCTATTTCCAGGATATATTGTGTTTTATATAGAGAAAACAAGCTATTTCCAGGATATATTGTGTTTTATCTGTGAGAAAATATAATTCTGTCCACAAAAGAAACTGCAGATTTCTTTAAAGACTAAAATAACTTAACAATAACTGTTATAATGTAGATAAGATATCCAAAATTAAACTACCATAGTATGAGTAGTATAGCCTGTTATAGAGCTACATTTGAGTAGAACAATCTGTGTTATAACATTATACTGTGGGTGAAGTATTCAGAATTGCAACACTATAATGCAAGTAGAATAACCTTTGTTATAATACTATACTGTGGGTGAAATATTCAGTATTATAACACAACAAACAGATAAATTCAGAAGTATTATAAAGCTATAATATAGCTAAAATAAGCAGATGTTATAAAAGTCATTACAATAACTAAAATGTTAACACTTTAGTCTGGGTAAAATAGCTAGCATTATAGCACTAATGTGAGGGTAAAATAATTATATAACGCCATAGTAGCGTGTGTAAAATAACTGTTATAATACTATAATGTGGATAAAGTAATAGCTATGTAACACTATAACAGTGTATGTAAAATAACAGTGCTATAATACTACAATGTGGATGTAATAGCTTTGTTACACTACAGTAGTGTGTGTAAAATAACAGTGCTGTAATACCACAGTGCAGAGAAAGTAATAGCTATGTAACACTATAACAGTGTATGTAAAATAACAGTGCTATAACACTACAATGTGGATGTAATAGCTTTTTAACACTACAGTGGTATGTGAAAAATAATAGTGCTATAATATTACAACATGGATAAAGTAATATGTATGTAACAGTATGGTAGTATGTGTAAAATAACAGTGCTGTAATACTACAATGTGGATGTAATTAGTTTGTAACACAAAAGTAGTGTATGTAAAATAACAGTGCTGTAATACTACAATGTGGATGTGATAGGTTTGTAACACTATAGTAGTGTATGTAAAATAATAGTGCTGTAAATACTATAATATGGATGTAATAGCATAGCAACATTATAATAGTGTGTGTAAAATAACAGTACTATAAACTATAATGTGGAAGTAATAGCTTAGTAACATTATAGTAGTGTGTGTGAAATAACAGTGCTATAATACTATATGGATAAAGTACGTATATGTACTAGTGTTTGTGAAATATTCAGCATTAATAAACTACAATTTAAGCAAAATTATTAGCATTATAAGTAGCATAGATAAACAGAGCATACGTAGCACTACTCCAAGGACAACAGAAATTAAGTAAGTTTTATATACAAAAAGAACGACAACATGAAAAAATGTTAAAACATTATTATAAAAAATGTTAAAACATTATTATAAAAAATGTTAAAACATTATTATAAAACGTGTTAAAACATTATTATAAAAAATGTTAAAACATTATTATAAAAAGTGTTAAAACATTATTATAAAAAATGTTAAAACATTATCATAAAAAATGTTAAAACATTATTTGAAATATTAGAGTTTTTATTTCACTTTTAGAACTCTTCAAAGTTAAAAAAAATAAAGAAAAAAACTGCTGTGAAGGTACGTGAACAATGTGTTTACAAAAATAAATATATGTAAAAAATATACGCGAGCTTTTGATTCTTTTACCGGAATCTTCATGGGGAAAACCTACGATATGAGTTTTAAATACAACAATAAAAAATAACAACACATAATAAGTCGCTACAATAATTGCGAGTTACAATGTAATATGCATAATTACATTTGACAAAGATTTATAGTAATTTTTTTCCAACAGAAGCAAGTCAAGTTAGTTTTTTTTCCAACAGAAGCAAGTCAAGTTTGAAGAGAGAAGTTGAAAGTTCGCTCAATAAATAGTAAACGTGAAATGACAAATGAATTGTTATTTTTATCTTTAATTTGCCTACGTTACGAATTTAAAAAACAGAAACATAAAACGGGAGATTTAGCGAAGCTCATGAAACACGTGTTCCCAGCTTTCTCCAGATAAATCATGATTCCACGGTCAGCTCTAAGTATTCGCCGTTAAAAACTTGGCTCGCTTCCTGAATGCAGAGAAGGTTTCCCTATCGTCAAGTTTCCCAGACGGGGTGGGGTGCGCATCCATCTCAACAGAGGTGAATTTCAGCTGGTACACGTTGCCAAGAACTTATTCTAGAGGGACAGTTGCAAGCGCGGGACGAGCATTTTCGAAGTTAAAAATGATAAAGAACTATCTACGAAGTTCGATAGATTTAAGAGAAAACTCTGGAGGAATAAAGGTACTGTTCACTGAGGTGGAACGGGAGAGATAGAATCAACTCTCAAGGAGCCATTGACGTCTTCGCCGAGTAGAAGGCTCGCAAGAGAAGTCTTAAGTAACGGTAACTGTAACCATTATTGAATTGTAATCCTTTTAATTATCGTTTAATTTTATGTTTAAAATTAATCATTCTTTGATGTTAGATTATTAAGTGGTAGAAATAGGGCCGCAGAACAAACGAAAGAAAATTACTGTGTGTATGTGATTGTGGGTGAATGGTTAGTGGGTACTGAGAGGCAGAAACAAGAAAACTTTGCTCCGGGTTTTTTTAGACCCTTACCATGTCACGAAGATTATGTTATAAGACTCTCTAGTTTTAAACTGTCTAGATTTATAAGTGGGTCGAAAAAAGAACTTGTATTAAAAACAATCTAAATCTCTATAGTTCAGAAATAACCAAACAAACCGTAATCAATAATGAAACTAACTTTATATAACGATGTATAATGTCATAAAACAAAGAAATTATGATGATTAGATTGTATTAATTCGTCAGTTGGATATCCTTGTGATTTCTTGCCGCTGTGAGCCACTAAGAATCAATAAGCAATATAAACTATAACCCTAATTTTCAACTAAGTGGGATTAGCTATAACCATAATAACTTGTTTTATACGCAGAGATGCACAATGGTCTACGGCAGGGATCAAACCCCGCATTTTAATGCTATAAGCCTGCAACTTTACTGGTGAATCACT